AAGGGTTCCCCGGCTTCCGAACCACCAGAGAGGCCAGAACGAGAAGCTTCCCGGGGAACCAGGGCCCGCGGTTCCCCTCCTGGTCTCCAGCCTGCAGGGTCTCCCGCGCGCCCGCATCCTGGCTCCTACCTGGATAGGTGTTCTGGGAGAGGCCTCTCTTCGCCGTCCACGGCTCCTGCCCGCGCTCCAGCTGGCAGATGAGCTCCGGTCTGGGGACGGGACACCCTGGTCACGGAGAAAGAAAGAAGACACTGGGATTTTTGGGAAAACAAATTAAACCTCTCAATCTAGTGTGGGACTTCCGGATACGGATATGACTTCAGAACAAAGCTGCTCCCATCCACACGAACACTGACTTGTCACCTGGAAACTGGCACAAACACCACTGCTGGGATCCAAAGACTTGAGACAGTAGTGCTGGCTATGTAGACAGCACCTGTTTCCTTTGACTTCCAGCTCACAGAATCCCAGGGAAGAGGATCCCCTCCTTCCAGAGAGTGTTTTCTCGTTATTCCGAGCAAGTGAGTATCACCCACGTGTGCATCCACACCTCCCGGCACGTCCGCCTCACATCCAACGAACGCAAACTTCTGTAGGCGAGGCCTGGGTATTGGGACATTTAAAAACCTTCTCAGCGGATTCTGGCATCAAAGGAAGGTCGAAAAACCACTCTCTACCAACCTGCAAGTGGCTATGCCCCATCACCAATCGTTAGAGGTACATAAGTACACAACCTGGTAGGAGCCGGGACGGCTGAGTGGGTGGCATCCTGGGACTTTTATGAGGGAACCTGCCTCAAAGCCCTAGACCAGAGAGGGGGTAAAGAAACACACAGCTGAGCTGTCACTCGCCAAGCGGGGAGCTGGGATCACCTCTGAACTTACGAGACGAGAGAATGAACGTCCCTCAGGGTGAAGACTGAGCTGCCCTGTCATGTAGCTACTCACAGACGCAGGGAAAAGACACAGGACTGCAGAGAAGTCAATGGCAGAGGCACCAGGACCCACGGAAGGCTGTGCTGACAGATACAGAGCCACAGCCGGAGAGTATCAGTTGTCACTACGCAAACCTCACTTGCATCTGCTGCAGGCTCAGCTCGGGTGTCAAAACGGGAGTAAGACTTCCCTTCAGCTCTCAGGAGCCATGCCTCCTGTAACCCCAGGGCCTTTGCATGTGTTGGCCCTACTACCTAGCAGGCTGTTCTCTTCCCACCTTGTGCCTCTAGAGAACTCTAACTCTTCCGGTCTCGGCTCCCATGTTACTTCCCGACAGGACTTCGCTGAAGCATGGCTTCATTAATCTGCCATGTTGTTGTGGAGTTTCTCATCCTAACAATAAATGAAAAACTAGCATTTATAGGGTATAACCATATCCCAGGGACTGCGGCAAGCAATTCAAATACGTTATGGTTTGTTTTTTTTTAAATTTTTTTTAATGTTTATTTATTTTTGAGACAGAGAGAGACAGAGCATGAGCAGGGAAGGGGCAGAGAGAGAGAGGGAGACTCAGAATCTGAAGAAGGCTCCAGGCTCTGAGCTGTCAGCCCCCGAGACGGGGCTCGAACTCATCAACCGCGAGATCATGACCTGAGCCTAAGTCAGACGCTCAACAGACTGAGCCACCCAGGCACCCCTCAAATACGTTATGTTTAAAGTGGAAATAAATTTATGGGATAATTTAAAGAACTGACATATTTAAAACACTGACTCTCTCCATTCAAAACAAAGTTTGCATCTTTACTGACCTGAGTCTTTTTTTAGATCCTAAGCAAAATCCTTCTGTAGTTTACAGGTGTGATAACCTAGGTCTGCAAGGGCTAATTCCCTAGTTGCCCCTGTATCGGCAAAAACCCATCTCATCCATCTGTTTTTCCATGGTCAAGTCTCTGGGTGGATGTCCCAGGGACAACTAGGGTAAGTGGCTGTCGTGCAAGGCCAAGGTCCCCCCAGACTACCGTGCTGGGGTACAGGTATGCCCAGTGAGCCAGCAACACTCAGTGCTGGGCTGCTCAGCTAGGTTCCCCGAGGGACTGATCGCACAGGCTCGCCCTTTCCAAGGCGCATCTGGTGGAGTCCCAGCACTGGTCCCCTGTGTGATATGAGGGATCTACTGGCCACACAGCATGGGGCGCCCTCCTCAGATGATGTGGCACAAGAGCCTTCAACTGCTTCGAGGGCAAATCCTGCCATTGTTGCCGGCCTTACTGTTGTAGTCCGTCCCCCAACCCAGCAGGGATGGGACACCCCATTCTTGGAGACCCATGGTTCAATGTATAAGGGAGAAAAAAAAGCGTATGGGGTATCTTGTTCCTGCGAGGACACCTCAGGACACATCTCCCCTTACGCCAGACTGCACAACCAATGTCAGGGCACCGGCCAGTGCATCCGGGCTCCCCCGACCGCAGCTGCCCAGCAGCATGCCAGAGTCTCCTTGTTAAAATCACACTGACCCAATCAGAACGCCGATGCCGCCACCATGCTGCCCTAGACGTAAGCCCCGGCCCTCTGCGGCTGTCAGGGCACCCTATAGATGGGACTGCCACTCAACAGGGGCCACCTGGGACTGCCGGGAGCTCATCAGGTAAATACCCAAAGAAAAGGAAAATGACCAGGGACAGAGAGGTGACAACAAACAATTATGCTGGGGACCAGGGCCATCCTAGGGAGGCTGCTGCCCAGAGACCCCACGCCCTCCCCACCCCTCTCACCAGCAGGAGACCAATTCAATATGGGGCTGCAGGCAGCTGAAAGCCCAAGAAAATGAAGCAGGAGTAGGAGGGGTGCCTTAAAACTTATGTACCAAGCGAATACCAGGTTTAGAAAACAACACTCATCCTAAACTACTGACTGATTTAAAACCAGTAACAAAAAGAAACCCCTAGATACACAGGAAGAAAATAAAAAATAACTAAATGCACAGTATACAACTAAAATTCTGCCTACAGGTTGGTGCGATTAGAAATGCAAAATTTATATGCTAAAAGTTAAGATAACAAATTATAATAATAATGTATAGCATAATTATTCTGTATAATAATTCTGTATAGCATAACAAAATTTATATTCCAAAAAAATTATATTACCAAAACAAAACCGGGCACTGATTGGTTTTTCTGACTCTACAATATAGGTTCTGAATTAACTTCAGGATTTGCTAAAACACACCAATTGACAAAACTTAAATTTAACCAATACTGGGGCTCAAATCCTAGTTATACCTGGAGATTCTTCTAAAATTAAACACAGCGCTGCCCAAACTTCAGTAGCTAATACAGGGGAAGAACACGTATGTCTCACTTTAACTGCAGATTTGCCTACAACTCCCTGCGTCCCAGTGCCCACTGTCCTAAATTATGCCCTATGGGCACGGGTGCCCTGACACATCACAGAATTAAAATATATTTTTGGTGCTTACAAACTGGCTTGGTAAAATGGGGCCCGCAGACCCCAATTAAAATAGTTAATACAGCCCAGTGGAAGCTGAAAAGGAGCCTTTCATTACATAAAAGCTGATCAATAAAGGAATGACCGTCCCACTGCTGCTCCACCTGACAGCCCAGTTGTGTCTGTGCTTGAACCTGGGACAAATGAAGGGCACCTCATGGGGGTGACTACAATCTTAATACTCTGGTCCACCACTGAGGGTCCCTGCTAGGAATGCAGCGTGTCCTCCCCTCAATGTCATTATGCCCCAATTCCCAATGTGATCGTATCTGGAATTCCAGATAGGATCTTTAAGGAGGGAATTAAGGTTAAATGAGGTCAGGGGATGGGCCCCAATCTGGTAGGACTGGTGTCCTTTAAAGAAGAGGAAGAGACAGCCTTTCTGAGCCTGAGGAAAGGACACATGAGGACACAGCATGAAGTGGCAGCTGGGAAGAGATTGCCATCAGACACCTCTCTGCCGGCACCTTGGGTCTGGAACGTCCAGCCTCCAGAATGATGTGGAAATAAAGCTGTTGTTTCAGCCACACAGTGTGGCAGCCAGAGCGGACTCACACGATCGACACACCCACCATCCAACAGAAATCAAGGACATCATTCAATCCACACCCCGCTGATCTGGGCTGAGAGCTCTGGCTAACCGTGCTGCCCGGTGCCTGCTCCGCCCCTTCTCTGCCAGCCTGCCTTTCCCCCGCAGGGAAACCCTTCTTCTCTCCTGGGCTGCGGGGAGGGTGGCTCAACAACTCTGACCCACACCCATCTCTGCAGACGAGATTTTAAGTGCCCCCACTTTCTCCAGGAGCACACGTGTGACGGTACATCGAGGACAACCTTGACCACGGAAGGTCATCTGACACACTCGGTTATGGATACATAAACACAACCCAACATCTTTTAGTCCCTTTGTGGGATTAGTTATATCATAGTTTATTTATGTAACTATAAAGAGAGAGAGCACACACACACGTGCACGCAAGCAAAGGTAAGTGGGAGAGGGGTAGAGAGAAAATCCCAAGCAGGTTCTGAGCTGTCAGCTCGAAGCCCACTGTGGTGCTCAAACCCACACAAACTGTGAGATCATGACCTGAGCTGAAATCAAGAGTCTGACACTCAAACGACTGAGCCACCCAGGCGCCCCTGGGGGGATTAGTTTTAGATAATAACACTACTTAGCATTATCTGGGGTCTGGTTACTACATTCTTCATTTACACATTTTATTTAACCTCACTGGTGTTGACAGTTACAGGTCAGCCCACCTTAAATGAGGCTTCGTCCAACCAAGACTCCAAGATCTGTTCACAATACTGTTAACAGACGCTCCGGTAGGTGCCCTCAGAGACCCCTTCACTACAGAGGCTTTGGACAACCTCTTTCTCCTCAAGCCTCCTGGAGTCTCTGAATGACCAACGATGGCCACAAGGGCTTCTGATGGGACAAACTGTCCCCAGTTCCAGCCTTGAGCAATACACTGTTAAAACCACAGTGACTGACCACACACTAGGCCCTCCTGAAAACAGCCGCTCTCAC